GCAGAGGATGAGGGGAAAAAAACAATCTGACTCCTGGCTGAGCACAGAGCCAGACTCTGGGCTTGACCTTACAACCTTGAAATCATGACCTGATCTGAAATCAGGAATGGGCCCTCACCTTTACCAACCGAGTCACCCAGGAGCGCTTAGTATGCTAATTCTTTTAGTGACTGAATTCAAATTAGGGAAATCCCCTGACAGAGATTTCTCGGAAACACTGTCCTTTGGTTTAAATATGTTGAAAGAGGGTACAGGGTGGAGGGTGGGCTAGTTGTTAATAGTCATTAAATACTGTCATGTTATATAGGTTTTGCATTATGACAATTACAGAAACCAGCTGATGGGTTGGTTTCCCTGGGCAAAACTGAATACTTGGCTGACAAGATATGGGAGTTACTGAAGTTCTTAGCAACAGTTTGGCTGGGCCTCTAGTGTGAAAACTTCTAGTAGGTTTAAAAAAAAAAAAAATATATATATATATATATATATATTTAAATTTATTTAAGTTCAATTCACATATAAATGAATTAATTACTGGTTTCAGAGGTGGTGGTCAGTGATTTAACGGTCTTATATAATACCCAGTGCTCATTACATCATGTGCTCCTCTTAAGGTTCATCACCCAGTTCTAGTAGGATTTTGATGAACACTGACTGAATAACAAAGAATTAAGAGAGTCAACACCTATCCAGATCTTATTAGTCAAATAGAAGCTGAACTCTTGCTTATTCCTTCGAACTAAGGGCCCTTTTTAGCTGTATATTCGTTGACTCCCTACGTAAATTAAGTTGTAGGGAAGCAAAATGTAGTATTTTCATTGATGAACATCCACTTAAAAATTAGTCTACCAGTCTTTCTCCCTGTTTAACATTAGCATTGTGAAATATCTCCAAACCAAGTTGTTGGTCATTTTCTTGCCAGTGTAGCCAACAACACAATGTAAACATATGCAAGTGAAATTTAAGTTTCAGGATTGAACGAAGTCAATGAAAATGCTTTTGGAGAACTGCACAACTCACTACAAAGTGTTTTCTTTTTTTTCTTAAAGATTTTATTTATTTGTGAGAGAGAGAGCGCGCACACAAGCAGGGGGAGCAGCAGAGCTGGAGAAGCAAGCTCCCTGCTGAAAAAAGAGCCTGATGTGGGACTCTGTCCCATGACCCCGGGATCATGACCTGAGCCAAAGGCAGATGCTTAACGTACTTACTGAGCCACCCCAGGCATCCCCCGAAAGTTATTATTAGATGAGTTTCTGGTAGAGTTAAATCAATTAAATTGGAAGAAAGAAAATTTATATGGATGCCATGGTAGATGCCAGAGTAGCTGCAAGACAAATTATCTGAATAACTGGTTAATAAAGATCATTGGGAGAAAGCCCTGGAATATTTTTGCGAAAATGACCAACTCCATGATCACAGTTCATAAATCAAAAGTGAAATAGACATTATGTTGTTTATCTTACCATTTTGTTGGAGAAATTGTATTTTCTCCTCCCAAAATCAACACTTGATTAAACTGAAATTGAAAGAACGAGTTCTTTCATATTAGTGTAGATTCTTCCACTGTCACTTTTTAAAAAAGTATGTATGTAGTAGTTTGTATGTCTATAAATGGATAATGTCAAGTTTTCTGAAAACATGTTCTGCACAATACTGTATCCCAAACAGTCATCTGTGAAAAAAAGGAACCCACAGTTGTATAGACTATTTTGTTTCCCACTCTCTACTAGTTTTCCTTCTGCTCTGTGCCCAAAGGGTTTATCTTAGACTCCAGGTTCCTTTGCCCTGCCTTCCTCTTGGATTGGGCTAATGGGGAGGAGGGCTGAGGATTAAAGGAGATAGGGAAATGGAGATAGCTATTTATTCTGGGTCTCTCACCTCCCTTCTGCGGGATTGCCACAAGTTAGTTGGCTGTCTTCCTACTAGAGTCACAGCTTCTGTGAGGCAGTCAGTCCTCTCCATTTAGCTGTTTTCCCCAGTTGTTAACTGCCCCGCACCCCCTTCCTCGCCTCTTCAGGCCTGGAGATGGTAACAGTACTGCATTCTCCCTTGTTGGTTTCCCTCTATTACATATTCTCAATTGTCCACTGTGAATGTACCATCTGTTTCCTTCTGGGAGCTGACTTATTCAATAGTTATATATTATATTACACTCCTGGAAAGATACAAAATTTACATCAACATATTAAAAGCATTAAATAATATAGCAGTAAATAATATCTAAGTTTAGGTCATGTTTGCAAAACTTATTTATTCATGGCACCATTTTTCTAAGAATATCCTCTGAACATTTTAGATAACAAAATTTGCCTTAAAACATAAAAAGCCGAATGTAATCGTTTATAGTTTTGATGATGGAGGTAATCATTATAAATATCTATAATTGTTCTGTATATATATATATATATATATATATATATATATAGTCTAAGGCTATTCGTCCATAACACTGATGTGTCCCAAATGGCTGTGCTTTTTAAATTCAGCTTAGTTTTCATAGTCCAAGTCTTTCAATATCAGGTTGACATATGTATCTTGCCCATGTGCTTCTCTCCCCATGCTCTGCATCTTATCTATTACCTCTAGTCTGGCAGGGGAACCAAATTACCAATGCTGCTACAGTTACTGTCAAATAAAACTAAATAGGCTTAAATAAGCACCTTTGATTCCCTAATAAGCACACTTGGATGCCTAAAATTCATGGTATCTATTTTGATTGCTTGGGAACTTTATCCTCTGTGCTTGATATTTCAGTTATGTGGTATGTTACTGTGGATATACTCTTTAAAAAAAAATTTACTTTAGGGATACCCGGCTGACTCAGTGGGTAGAACCTGTGAATCTTGCTCTCGGGGTTGGGAGTTCAAACCCCATGGGCATACAGCTTACTTAAAAAAAAAAAAAAAGAAGTTTACTGTCTAAACTCTTATGTGGTAGCAATTACTGCTGTGTATTTCTAGCTTTTCAGGACAATAGGACTGCATTTTCCATGCTGGTAGCTATGTGACCAGTTCCATCCAATGAGTTGGATAGAAGTGTTATGCATGATCTCTTAGCCAAAAACTTAATTATCAAAGCCCTTTTGGCCTTCTGTCACAACTAGCACTTTTCTAGAGAAAAGATGCTCCATCAGCTTGGGTGGAATGAATACGAAGGTTAAGTAAGGGTATCTGTATTATTTTCAGGGTTGCTTGTTTCTGCAGCATTATCTTAGCTGATCCTGATTTATTTCAAAAAAGGTTTTGTAAAAGGAAAAGGTTCAATCTAAATGAAGAAATTTACACAATCACGTAACATTCACACTTTTTAAAAAAGAGAATGAGTTCCACAGGCAGTTTAAGAACTCCTAAAACCTTTAACAACTTATTACATTAAAAAGGTCAGGCATATGTAGTCATAGCTGTGTATAGTAGTCACATGTTTGAATCCCTGAATTTTTTAAGATTTTATTTGAAAGAGTAGGGTGAGAGACAGAAGGAAGGACTCTCAAGCAGACTCCCTGCTGAACATGGAGCCAAAAGGGGAGCTCAATTCAACAACTCGTGACCTGAGTGGAAATCGAAGTCAGACACTCAACTGACTGAGCCACCTGAGTATCCTGAATCCCTGCATTCTACTTATCAGTCATCTAACTGGAGGTTTATATTCCTTATGTATAAAATTGGGAAAATGTAAGATTTTAAAATAATTAAATTATGAAAATTACCTGAAAATAATATCCTTAATAAATGGTAGCTATCACAATAGCTATATTAATTGGTTAGTCTGGCAATACATACCTAGGTTTTGCTTTCAGCTAAAGGGCTGCATTGTCTCTTGTTATGATTTAGTAATCACATTACTTAATTGTCAGCATTATGGTTCCTAGAGACAGGCTTAGTCAACTAGTCACTACTTAACACATTATCCTATTGATGGAAATTGTTATCCAAAACCAAGTAATAACCAAACTTTCAAACACCATCTGGTAACTTCTTACATTCAAGATCTCAACTCATTATTTCTATTTTATTTCTTGTTAGATATAAGGAATCTCCCAAAATGTATAATGGGTATTTCTATAATTAGTCATATTTACAAGACACAAAATATTTGGATAAAAAGTAAATTTCATCATTTGAATACTGTACAGATGAGATTTATAAATTGATTTTAAGCACCATATATATACAATCCAATACTGCAAACCAACAGTGTTTCCAAACTCAAGATGTTTCATTTATCATGATGGCACCTCCTCTCAATAAACAAATGCTGTTTTATGGGCTGATAATAGCAATGATTATTTAGTTATCAATTTTACAAAATTACCAAATATCTTCAGGGGAAGGCTGCATTTAAAAAAGAACAAAACAATTACCAAAAAAACTGAGGTTAATTAACTACTCCCAATTACAAAACATGTAAGATTTAAAGAACTAAGGGTCCCCAGAGACTTCCTTATTGCTTTTTCCTTGGCTCTAAGTTTTAAGAATAGTGTATATTAAGTGCTAAACTGGCAGAGATGGAAGCAAAATCTTTTTAAAAATACAATGTGGAGTACCATTTTTTAAAAAAAATACCTTACTCAGTTTTAACTATTAAAACTGTTAAATCAGACAAGGACATCTGTCCCTTTTAGATTAACATGAGCTACGCAAAGGAAGCACTTAGATTACTGAAATAAATACTGAAAGAAATTTAAAATTTATTAAGCCTTCATGTGCCAAATATGTTCCAATATCAAAACCTGTAAAGGCATCCATTATTTGCAAATAAGAAAACGGGCTCAGAAGTTGCTCAAAACAAGTTATTATTTGGTGGAACTGAGCTTCAAATTAAGGCCTTTCTCTAGTTTCTCAATACAGCATAGTACACAGGTTTGAAATTATTTAAACCTTTAAAAAGGAAAATCTGTAATGGAAAGTACTTTTAATGTTAAGCAGTTCTCATGACTGTAACAAATTGTGTCCATCAAAAACTTACTAAATGTCAACTTCATTTAATCCTTCATTTGTTTAAAAAAAAAAAAAAAGAGGACATACTTCAAATGGCACTAAGTGAAGCCTAATTCATTTATATCATTTTTTACAAAACCAGTTAACTTTAAGCCAAACAATTTCAATGATGATAAATGCATTTCATTATTTATTTAGATGTTTAAGCTCTCGCACTAGATTTTTACAAGCTGGTGAACACTGACAAATTATGTCTCCCACAGAACTACAACCACACATTCCCAGACAGTATAAATATATGGTTGAACTAACATTAATACACATCACCATTTATCAATTACATAATAAAACAAATTATCAAGTATCCAAATATTAAGTTACACAGCTCAAAAGGCATATAAAATATTAGATGTCTGCTCAATTCATTAGCAGAAACCCACTTTTTTTTTTTGCAAGAGAGGTTGGGAAGAGAAGAAAAAAAAATCACTTCAAACAAAAATATGTTGATAAACAACTTCAGATAAGAAAAAAAATTACAAGAATTTCAGAAATTTTATGATTAAGAATTGTTTTAGCTACAATAACAAAGCATCTCTACCTTTTAAAAAAATATTTACTAAATTAAAGAGCATATTCTACATGTTCTGCACAAGACAAAGGCAACATTTTACTAAAAATACTTAATAGCCCCCTCCGTTCTTTTTTCAGGCCCTCCCTGTAAGTTGCACTCCAAAGTGCAAACATTAAAATTAACTGTAAGGCTTTTTTGTCTGGAGACATTAAAGACATGTGCTTCTGTACAACGTAGATTTTCAAAATGGAGGTTTTCCATAACAGCACAAAATGAAATTTGTAGAAAGATATGATATAATCATTGTAAGACTTGGTTTAAAAAAAAAAAAAAAGAAAGAAAAAGAAGTTGAGCAAACCTGATGTATACTGGTATGAATGTGGGAGATGTAAACATAAAGTGAGCAGGCAAATAACCATATAGGCCCTAATTTCTATGTTTGAAATGACTGGAGGAATAAACCACATAAGGTCCAGAGTGTTCATAGTTCCTGGGATTTTAGTTCTGTACGATACTAAAAATATACAACAAGTATTGTGCTGGATATTTTGGCACCTAATCTTTCTAAATTTCTTATATATTGATAAGATTCTGGCATGGGAATAAATTTAAAGACATAACTCAATACTGCATGATTTCAGGAAAGGTCAATTGGTACAAGTGGTAAGCACATTTTAAATGCTGTAAAGCAAGAATCTTTTGCAAAATGTCCAAATAGGTTGATTGTAACCCAAACACAGAGGCTGCAATCCCATCAAACTTGTAGCCTGATAAAACTGCTTTCCAATACTCCTATGGAAGCTTCATTAGACTTAATCACCAGGCCAACATATTTGCTAATATGTATGACAAATTAGGTCCTGTTTCAAATTCCACTTCCAAGGCAAATGACATCAGGCACCCCTGATCTTTTATTGAATGCAACAGTTGTTTCTATGACCATTGGAGTCTTTGAAGCGCAGCCGCATTTTCGGACGATACTTCTCCAAATACAAAAGTTGCTTGCTGTTAAAAGCTCCACGCCGCTTTCTACATGAAGAAAAACAAAAGGTGAATTTACTAAAGCAAACTCCCTCCATATTACTGTTTACTATGCTATAGACAACTACCTCTTGTGGCAATTTATCTTTTTGATTATTATGCTGTGACTTAATGCCAAATTTATGGATAGACATACATGTGTAAATGGAAAAAGGGTACTACAAAGTCCTAAATCTTAAGTGTTCTGGTTATAACAGTCAAATTTATATATCCACTTATATGAGATCCACTTACATGACAATTTATTTTAGAATCTCTGTAATCTGAGCATTTACAAGGAGTATAAATAAGATCCTATTTCCTGGTTTTAATACTATCTTGAATGTAATGGTTAGATGGGATGTGGGAGGAAAAACTGTTTTTGTAGTAATAAAACCCACTGATAATGAAGAAATGAAAAGAAAATCATTATATACTTACTGTCTTATGAACTGTACTGCATCTTCATATTTCATTCCACCTTCAATTAATGCTAGGGCAACAAGCACTGGAGCTCTGGTAGGGTAAGAATTTTGATAGATCAATCCTGGAAAATTCAACACCTCAAACATTCATCCCTTAACCCAAAAGTACTATTATTTACCACCTTCCCTATGTAATTAATACCTTAGAGTAAATGTTGACTTCTTTTTAAAAAATTAATAAAGCATCAGCATTTTCCTACCAAACCCAGACCTTTACCTAGAACCAAAATAAAACTATGTCCTTAATTGTTATAAGTAAGTCTGAAAACTAAGACTTGTATTATTTGAGGGCAATCTTAAAAAACCTAAGGGGGTAAATCTTGATAAATGCAGATAATTTTTTCTGAATCCAAGCAAGGAATAGTATTTTAAAAAAAATTTTTTTTAAAGGTTATGAACTTCTTTTCCTAAAGATCTTCTGGAAATATTTGCTTCCTTTTTTGTTTATTATCAATGAGATTGTGACACAGTTGCATGCCAAACCCCCAGGGCCAATGCTCATTTTATTTTTACCCTCTAGAAAAGAACTTTTTTTTCTTGGTGGTGGGATGGAGGGCAGTAATACTGAGTTACAAATCTGGATATGAATATTTGGGCATTACTGGGTGATGAGTTCCCAGTGAACTGGGATCTCCAGGATCAAGAACGCTATCAAAAGTACACCATATGCAACTCAAAGCACCTTAGAAATGATTCATAATTCTTTTTCCTAATGAGCCTGGACAATGATTCCAATATCATTGATATCACTGATACAAGCTAGCACAATTAGTTCTGTACGTAATTGTGCCCACAGAGACAAGTATAATTTACAACTACAGCATTTGTTAGTTCCAGCTGTACTGGAAGATATTATTCTATTACATTCACCTACTTTTTTTCTTTTTTTTTTTTTTTTTTTTTTAAGATTTTATTTATTTGACTGACAGAGATCACAAGTAGGCAGAGAGGCAGGCAGAGAGAGAGGGGGAAGCAGGCTCCCTGCTGAGCAGAGTGCCCAATGCGGGGCTCAATCCCAGGACCCTGAGATCATGACCCGAGCTGAAGGCAGAGGCCTTAACCCACTGAGCCACCCAGGTGCCCCTACATTCACCTACTTTTAAACTTAGTTTAATATGTAACCTAACAAAGCAAATTGACTCACAAAGTGATAACTGAATCTTTCTTGGACTCAAAATCAAGTTTTTACTAGAATGAAGACGAATACCATTAAATGGATTTAAAAAATTCTCTTACCTCCCAAGGCCTGCAACACAATGAACAGCAATACAACAACCAGGTTCTTCACGAAACTTAATTTTTACAAGACTTAACCAGTCATCAACAATCTGGTTAGATGGTGGTGCGCCATCATCAAAAGGCCAATCCTAAGTCAAAAGAATAAGCGTTTTAGATTTTTTAGCATAAATGCCAACTAATAATTCTAAGTTTCTAACACTCAAGCATTTTAATATGCTTAAACATGTCTTTTATGAAACCCCACTGTCAATGAAATGCAAATAAATGCTGAATCTTTATAAAGATCTCATTACTTCAAAGCTTTGCTTAGCTTTCATATTTAGAAATTAAGATGCTGTATACTTTCGTAATAACTTAAAAAAAAAAAAAATCAAGCTTTTTGAAGTTGGTCATTTTGTAGCACAGTATCAAACACATAGGAACTATTAAACACTTACAAGAACATGGATGCCTTCTTTCTCCACAAGAGTAGTGTCATAAGTTGCTTCACATACTCTTACTATAGTTGTAACGCCATACTTCTTAAGTTCCTGGATAACACATACATAAAAAATACTTAATGGAAGTCTTTATGACCATGATACTATTGCTCACCAATTGCTGAAAAGGTATTGCTAGTTAACAGAAAATCATGGAACAAATGGTATAACTTATGTATGTTTAACAGGAAAGTAAATCTTGTTTTCATTCATTCATTCCACACCACCCACATTTACAACTCAACTCTGGGAAGTGAAATCCTGTTTTAAATGACAACACTAGCAGAGGACAAAAGGAGAATATTAAACATCACATATTTTTAATAAATTTAGTTAAAAAAAAAATCATGTGGCCCTTCATACATGGAAGGTGTTTATAGTATTGGCAACACCAGCCGGATGGAGATGAAGAACAAGAGGAGAGAAGCAATTCAGAGACAAAGGTAAACAGAACCCAAAGGAATCACTCATGACTACAAGTAATCTGACTTGACTTGATTACATTAACTCCTTAAACTTTTGCTCACTGGCAGTACACACTGTAATTTAGAACCTTAAAAGTATATCCAAAGACTCTAAAATCCTATAAGTACAGTGTAAAAAACCTCACACTATTTAAAACTACAAGATTTAAGACTCATAATCCATTATTACTAATTATAATTAGTAGCTAAAAATTGGCTTCTAGCATTAAATAGGGCCCAAGACATTAACTAACTTTGGTTACAGTATTAGTCATTAGACTAAGCAGATATATGATCTTTAAGTGGCAGCCTCCCTTCTATAAATTTCTTGTGAGAATCATACTGTTATACCGCCCTCATATAGATTTAAATAAGCAAACTGTGAGGCATGAACAACTAGATGATCTTATAAATGCAAACTAATTCAAGTACATGCTCTTTCTGAAATGTACAAAATAATTTTCCTGTAACCTAAAGAAGAAACTGGTATTTCATTTCTGGAAACTGAACGGCAGACATACCAACCAAAATTTCTCTAAACCACCTATTTATTTTGATTGATAAAAAGCCCCACCATTAAACTGCAATCAGTTTAAGACATTAGAAAGTATCAAACCTTACCTCTATAAATTTGTTTAAGGTCGCATTGGTTGGATTGTGTGTAATAAGAAATCTCATGTTCTTGTATGTGACTTCCACAGGAGCTGGGCGGTTCATTCGAGCCATGTTAATTTAGTTAAAAACACTCAATAGGGTTATGAAAGAATTTTAAAAATTGAATACAGAAATGACGCAAAGAAACTGAGTCTACTTCAATATACTCCACTTGAAATTCTCAGTGCTTTGAGTATGAAGTTGGGAGTAATGGGAAATGAAATGAACCTCCTAACAAGAAGCAGCAATTCTTCAATCCAGTAATACTGAGGCAATAGAAAGGAAGTGCACTGAGGTTTACCCCATCCAGGTCAGAACTCTTGTAAAATGCTCTGTGGATTTCAATTCAACACTTCTGTGTCCAGGTTAACCACTCTTTATGGGGGCTTCTTGGTGGAGTAGTAATGAATTTCTACAGTTCACTTGTCTGCATAGAGGTCGTGCTGTGCCTGGCAGTAATCTCCACTGCCCTTCAGAAACTCCATAAATGTGTGACCAAGAACACCACAGAACTGCTGTTTAAAAGAAAAAAAGAGAAGAAAAAAGTTGTTTTCCAATTCAAAGGAACATATTATGGTTTTGTAGTATTTAAGTGCACGACTATCCTTTCAAATTTGGGCCCAAGCCACCTTTTAAACTTTTATTCAAACCACAAAAATAACAGGGATGATTACAAATTAAATAAAAAACCATAAAACAAGCATTCACAAGTAGATTACTTTAGATTAAAATTACTGACCTAATACAGGGACCCCTCAAAGAACACCACTGCTACATTTTGACAATATCACTTAAACATACACTCCCATTTTATTTTAAATAGTTGGTGGCTTTCAATGTTATAAAACTTACAACTCTTTATATTGTTTTTCCACCTAATAAAGTATTTTTGCATATTGTAAACTTCATGAAAACCCTGGAAGCTGTTAGTCCTTGCATAATTTACTTACTCCTCTAAAAACTCAATATGTTCTTTTAAAAAAATTATTTTTAAAATAATCTTTACATCCAGCTTGGGGCTGGAACCTAACCCTAAGACTGAGTTACAGGCTCTACCAACTGAGCCAGCCAGGTGCCCTTCAACCAATGTTTTTAAGGGAAAGAAAAGAAACTGGTTTTCAAAATGCTTCCACATGCACTATCTTTTGATCCAACAACCTATCAATTTACAATTCTTTTTTAACAGATTTTCCTTATCTGAGTCTCTGGAAGTTAATCAACTTGTTATATGAAATACAAGAATGAACATTCATAAAGTAGGAAAAAAAAGAGACTGTGAGTGCTAAGTAGTAAAGAGAGGAATAAGAAAAACTGATAGGTTAACAAGAGTACCAAGTGCCAGTCACTGCCCCCAAACACTTTCTATGTATTCTCAAGGGAAAATTACCAAATAAAATCTTTTAACCAAAGATTCCCCCCAGTTTATATTTAAGCATTTCAAAAGCTTAAAATTAAATCCAAACTATCTGTTATTTCCATTTTGCACCTTTAAATAGCATTTTGAACCATACTAGTTATAGTTTCTAGAAAAATTTTGCTACATTTTGAAGAATTCATATGGAGATCTAGCAGATCAGTGAAAAACAGCAAGTCAAAACCCTAGTTCATTTTTCTGTCAAAACAAAGGAACTAGCCTCAGGAGTCCCAGAAGAAAGAGGACTTTCATTATTCCAAATCTGTTCAAAGGAACCCTCAGAGAGTATTCCTTCATGTATTTGCTACCTGGGTTAAAACATTAGTGACTACCATTAAGTAAGCTTGGCTCTACTACAGTGAACACACACAGCAGTAATCTGGAAAATAATTTCAGTTATACTTTTGCCTCAAATACTAAATATTACTTCCTTAGAATAAAAAAAGTGAATTCTGGCAGCTTTTCCATGATATACAATGAATTAAAGAAGTCCTTTGTAAAGCTGTTAAGTGCAATGACTCGTGGCTTAGTATTCTGATTTCCAGATACCATCTTTTTTCAATTGAAAGCACATGTATGAAAAAGACAGTATTTCACAATACAACTTCCACATTTAACAGCTAAAATTCGTGTTACAGCTGAGTTTGGCCGTATCTCTTCATATAAGCAGGTTCATCAGGAAGCAGAGAAAGCAACAGAAATAATTCACTTAGTGGAGCCATCCAGTGGCTGGGGGGGAACTTTCACCAAAAGAGCAGTGACCACAACTACTTAACACCTGTTCTGCCCAATACATTCCCTCACTACCAATTTCCTTGCCAAAGAAAAACTATCCACAATAGGCAGCTCGGAAATACCAAGGCGTTTCTTCCCCTTCCCACCTATCGTTCTATATAATCACCGTAATATACACCTGGCGGGGGTGGGAGGGAGGTCTGGGCAAAGCAATTTCTGCGCAGAAGCTTAAATTCGTCAGATTGCAGAGTCAGAGGAATTAATCCGTATAACCACTCTGTCCAATAGGTCGTTGAAAAGTTTGTTCCAGATCTACTATATCTTAAGTAATGTATTTGGTATACAGCATATGTAAAATGCTGCTTTACTCTTGGGAATGACCTAGCTTTTTGGTCTTCAACTGATTTACTGCCGTCAAACGAAATTCATATAAAAAGAGAAACAGGAAGAATTGCCTCAGAATCTGGATCCCAAGCAGGTAGACGGTTCCAACTACAGCGCAAATAACAACTTAATACTCTTGGAATCGTAGGCGGCATCCACGGACAGAAGATAAACCTCAGAATTCTGGCTCTGGCTGGCTACTGTTGCCACAAGCCAAAAGCAGACAACAACACATTACACAAGGATTTCAGGAACAGTTCTAAATAGTCCCCGATTAAAAGGCGCCATCCAGGGCCCAAAGATTGGCAGGGAAAGTGCATACTGGTGCCCGGTCGTGAACTCCTTCGCTTCAGTGCAACAGTAGTCCTGGCAGTTTCCAAGGTGCTCAGACCCAGACCATTTCTCCACCGACTTGCCCCTGAGAATGGACAAGACTCGACTTGTTCCCATTATCCAGAGCCCCAAGTGGGGCGTTAAATCCGGAACAGCTCGAATTACCAGGTGGAGACTGAGGGCGCAGGGCGGGGCAGGGAGTCGATCTCCTCACCTAGCAGAGCCTCGCTCTAGCCCCCGCCAAGGCTGTAGCTCGCGGAAAGCCCCCGAGGGCCGCAGTTCCGCGCACGCGGCAGTGCGCGCCGGGGCCCGCCCGCGGCGCCCCCTTTCCGCGCCGCAATCACGGGTTCGCGCCGCGCCTTCAGTCAGGCGCGGACGCCGAGGCCATTTTGTCTGAGGCGCCGGTCCGGGCCGCGGAGCACAGGGGTGGCTGCACCAGGTTCCTGTCCCGCGCCGGCCCCCGAGCCCGGAGACCTCTCGGCCGAGACCGTTATCAGCCTCGCCGGCCGCCCCGCCTACCCCACGCCGGCCCCGGTTCGGTGGCGACCCCGCCGCCGCGCCCTCCCCGTATCCGGCTCCGCAGTGACACGCGCAGCCCTTGCCCCACCCCGGGCCACGTCTCCCGCTTCCCAGGCGGGCCGCTCTCTTTCGGCCAAACAAAGGGGCCTCGGGACGCCGCGGAGCCCGCCGGGCCCCGGACAGGCGCGCCAGACCGGAGGGCCAAGGGCGGAGGCGGCGGTCACAAAGCGGCTTTTGTGCCGCCCCGCCCGGCCTGCTGCGGTGGCCGAAACCGCCCCCACCCGCCGCTCAGGCCCGGTCGCAGTGCCCCCGCCGCCCCCGGCTCGGCAGGGGTGAGGAAGCCGGTGCCTCCGGCATTCAACCGCCAACCCGCAACCCGGTGGACCCCAGCGTCCGCGTCCCCGCAGCCAGTCCCACCGTCCGGCCACGGGGTCGTAGTCCGGCCCGCTCCAGGCAGGGACCCACCGGAACTGCGTGCCGGGGCGGTGGGGAGCGGACGCCGGGCTCGGAACAAAGGCGACGGTGGGGATGGGGGGGCCGGTCGTGGAACCCCGGCCCCAGAGGCGGCGGAGCGACGGATACTCACAGGAATATGTTTACTCATTGAAGATTGTGGCCTAATCATACAGCCGGTCCCGAGGCGGCGGCGACACAGGCGGCGGCGGTGGCGGCGGCTGCAGGGCAGGGGGTACCGGTGGTCGTCGCGGGGCGGCGGCGGCTTTGCAGGCGGCGGCGGGGGCACCAGACTCTACCATGCAGTGAGCGGCTCCGAGAAGAGCGCGTAGCCCAGCCGGCCCGCAGGAGAGGGAGCCAATACGCGCGGCGAGGCGCCCTTGCGTCACAAGCCCTCCCTTTTATAGCCGGTGCGACGTGCGAACTCCCGGCCACCAATCGCGGCCGGGGGCCCCGGCAGCTCGCCGACGAGCGGGGGCGGAGGCCCAGCCCCCTCCCGCGGACGTCACCGCGCGGCGGCTGCTGCCGGTGTGAACCGGTTGATGAATGGCGAAGCGCTGGAGTCGTAGCATCTCCCGGGCGGGGGAGGGAAGGGGCCGTGGAGGGACTCGGGGGCCGACCGAGCATGGGGTAGGGAAGGGGTGGGAGCGGGAGAAGATTGCAGTCTGTTGACTGGAAGGAATCACACCGGAAACCCTGGCTCTCATAGTTCAAGCCGGCGAGGAGTGCGCATATGTCACATGGGGAGCTTTGAAGTTGCCTCAACTTAAAATGCAATCCCTTTAGGGCCAGAACCGTGCCTCAGTCCCGACCCTACTTTATTCTGCCTTAAGTTAAACTACAGTCCTCTTTGCCAGCGATTTACCTTGGCACCTGCGCCACTACGATCTCCGTCATCAAACGATATTTACGTCGCACGACCGCTGTACCCGGTGACTCAACACCTTGAATGCCACGGCCCTAGGCTCGGACAAGGTCAATACTTGTCGCCGGGGGCCCTTCCAAGCGGGGAGAAACTTTGCAAACTTCTGCTATGGGAGATTGGGAGAGTACCCCGGGAGGCAGATAAAGCCCCATGCTCCCTAGTCTTTTTTTGGTCACGCCTCCATACTATGTACGCGGGCAACTGCAGTTGGCTCAGTTGTGGCATTTCGAAATCACATGCATCCTTTGTACTGCTGTTCACTTGATGTGTTGTCACAGATAATGAAAGGTTAGTCACTGCTAAAGGAAGCGTTTTAAAAATTAAGAATCTTTGGTTATGTCAAGGACTGCTGTAATTCTTTGCGTCAAAGCTAAAGCTTTTTTTTTTTTTTCATTTTCAGTTCTGTTGCTCCACTGTTTTCATAATTTAGGCCCTTAAGAAGTAAAGCCTTGTCATAATTGTTTTGTGCTACACAAAGGCAACTTTGTCACTTGTAATCTGCAAACCCTTTTCCCTCTGCTATATGGAAGGCCTAAACAGGACTTTTACCTGCTTTGAAGAACTGGGTTTTCTACTAACACTGAGGCCTTTTGTTTGCTGTTTTCACTGACCAGTAGATTGGAGACGGCTTTAGGGATCAAATTGTGTTCTCAGTCAGCGTACTGCAGCATTTCAGGATTTATTAGTACTTCTACTTAGAGGGCTTGGGTAGTTATTCAACATTCTTATATGCTCTGTAAACAAAATAGCACTTTTGAAAAAAGGAATTGGGTCAGGCTTTTACAGAAGTAAAAGTAAAATCTTCATTTTAAAGAAATTACTCATTTAAGAAACTTTTGAATCTATCTAAATGAAGAAAAACTAAAGAGCTTGAGAAACATAATGTCCTTTTACAAATAAACTTTAAAAGGTACAAATATTTTAAATGTTATGTCAAAAAAATATTTTCAAAAAATCTTGTTGTGGGAGGGACCTTCCTAAGTAGGTCAGGGAACTCATCACAAAGAAAAAAGATAGATTTCATTATATAAAAAACTTCTATATGATGAAAACTTTTGATAAAGTTAAAATATTGATGGCACACCAGGAGAAAATATTAACAGTGTGTAATGGGCAGAATTAACTTCATAATAAACCAAAAGCTTGACCAACATATAAAATAGCTAAAAAACATTCAATCAGCTACTCTCACTCCAAAAGTTGGTCAGCAAACAGTGGGTACTTGGAGTGGTGAAGTTTTTCACGTAATGACTTTTTAAAAAATGAATTTGCTTGGATGAGATATAAATTCAACAAATGGTAAGCAGAGCCAAATCAGTATTAGCCAGTTTTCTTGTAGAACTTGTGATACAAGTTGTGAGACTTGTGATGCACACATCTTGTAATTACCACAAGTAGTGCTGACATGAAGTATCCAGTCAGCTATGCTCATCAAGCTCTAGAAGCTGG